AATCTTTAGTCAGCCATTTGAACCACTGTAAATAATGATTTCTCCAGCTAATTTTTGATAATTTATATACTCATCGTAAACTTGGCTCTCATAATTCTTATATTTTAACAATTATATCCTATCGATGGGGCTCTGGAAATTGCTAAGTCTAAATTTAACTCACGAGTTCCTAATTTTTGAAATTGACGATTTCATTCTTCGGATTTTACTTTTAAAGCGTGCATACCGTAATTTTTAAAGGTTTATTATCCAATAGTCATTCGTGGCTTTATTTTGAAAGTTATTTTTAACGTATCGAACTTTGGAGTGTCTTACTACCATTATGTTGATATTCCACTAAAAGTAGATTGCAACCATTGAGGCAGGTCCATTTTATCTCTGGATATAAGTTGTTTAGGCCTATTTACCCTTGAATGTGTAAACACGAATAAATGTGTCCAACTTCATCTCGGACTTTTGTGTTGCCTAATGCTCGATATGCACACATCTCTTAAGCTTATTTTCTCTTCGTCAACACCGACGTAGCCCTTAAACTCATGAAGCTCACTTCTTTGCGTCACTGAAATTTTAACTCAACCATATCTCTTGCAAGTGAAACGGTGTATGTAGGTAGTTTACGCTTTTCGAAACTTAAAAGAACGTAGAACAGTTTTATGAAGCAAAGATTATTTTTCATAAATTAATTATTCAAGATATTAAAACCCTTTCATATCACCTAGCCGCTACTTTCTGCATAGTCTAAAGCGTACAGCTCTCGCCTTCGTAACGCTACTTTTATTGGTATTCTTTTTTTAAATAAATTTACATCTTATGTGCAAAATATATAATTCAGACTTAATTAAAATTTGGATACGACACATAAGGCCCACAATCTTTTAACAGTTGTTGCTTTAACTTCCTTTCTCGCGTTTCCGGACCCTTTATCTGACTTAATACTTCCAGCTATATGGACTACTTTTAGTTTTTAAGAAGTTCAAATTTTTATCAAATTTATGCGGTACATTTTAACATGGATTTTAGATCCATTGATCTCATTTCCTTTCATATTTAGAGCATATATACTCTACAAATCCATTAGTTGTTATTATCACACTAGCTAGTACTTATATTTACTATACTATGATGTGCTCAGTTTAGCATATGAACCCATGTAGTTAACTAGATTTCCATGTTTTTGGCGCAAAAACGTTTAATGTCTCATTACACCAAGGTTATTTTTCTGTTCTTGTAGGAAATATAAAAGCAGCGCTGAATATGAGTGGATAACTGAGTCTGCAATTTTGGCCGCTTTGCAGCTTTTTCCTATGGGGTTCATGATGGTGCTTTTGATTTACATCATGATCTGGCCTTTCTACGTTACTTGTGTTGAATGCTATTGTATCTATAGCATGTTTTGTCTTTTCTTTCAATAGAGCGAAAATAAATAAGGCCATTTTGCCACATTGTTGTAGCATTTTTGGCCACTAGCTAGATTTAATCTGTACATCTTTATATTAAAGCTATGCCTTTCACATTTGAAGATTCGCACACCTAGATAAAATCATGACAAAATCTAGGAAATCCACTGCTTTTATAAAATATTCATAAGCTATGTCCATAAGACCTGATAACTGCCATATTTTGCATTTGTAAGTGCCTAAGTAAAACTGTTTAAGTGCCTCGATATGATTTTGTTGTCACTATTTGATGAGACTTTTTACTTTAAGATTCCTGTCATTTTATAAAATTTAGCTCAGGTAGTTTATCGAAAACATATACTTTGATGAACGACATGAGAACCTTTATGTAGAAATGTTTTTATTTATTAACCTCTATTTTGCTTACCAGACATCATTTATCCTATTATTTGGTGTACTACTGAATCAAAAACGTATATCGATTTTAAATTTCCATACATCTCAACTCTACGGCATTGAACTCCTTATGATTTAAATAGCAGGAGACCAACATTAAATGATACTAATCTAGGAGAACATAAATTTGTTTCAATCAATTTTTTAAAGGAGAATGAATATTTGATCTTCCTCAAACAATAATCTTATTCTCTTTGCTTTTGTATTTTCGTGTAATTCTAGTTGTTCTTTTCTTTAGGCTGATGAATCTTGTCACCTGGCGCGTTTGGGCATAAAAATAGACAAATTGGAATCAGAGCTTAACTCAGCTGTGCAGAGGGATTCACGTTACTGGCTTGAGAATGACACCAAAATCAATGCTGTCCAGCAGGGTGTACCAACTTATGAACATTTCAGGTTAACCATTATGGTTTATATCAAGACCTCATTGTTTACACCAAACATTTATGATACAAAAATAGGCAGTTCACTTTTATCATTAAGTATATTCAAATTGAAGGCTTAGTTATCAACTGTGGATGCTGATAGCAAATTCATACTTCACCTAATTATAAATGTTCACTCTGGAGAATGATATCTTAAAAGACTTACTGACATTTCTTGCCAGATTGTGCCTTGTTTTTCATTATTTTATCCACTGATACCCCTCATCAATTTCTATTCCCCTATGCGGAAGATGAGCTATTTTGGACATTGATAATTATAGCCGCTATACCTAAATCGTATAAAAAACTTGAATCCTTCTCCAAAGATCATGAATTAATAGTATTTGAATATTTCATCCAACCCCTAGGCATAACAGTTTTTCCTGAAAGCCCTGCCATCCAACCAACATAAAGCAAATATATACCGAGTACCGTTTGCAAGTAGGCTTATATATCGACTAATTGTCATATCTTAATACTATTACATTTGTTTTACTACTAGTAGTCTTATGAATCAATTTTGGCACAATTCATTACCTTTCTTTTACGTAGACAACTAGTTGCCGGATGCCACCTGAAGCCATTAGATAAAAATGAAGATATCACTAATCTCAGAGCAGTCCCCAGTTGGAACCATGTCCTCTGTGACTCTTTAGATGGACCACAACTTGAGGCTTTGATAACTGACTCGAAAGCCTTTCGGGTAAGGTTTAATAAAGACTAATTCAATAATTTATAGATTTTATGTTTACACTGATTTAGCCAGCAACACTTAGAAGTGTTAGTGACTAATTTAAACATCCAACAAAGAATTTATTCCTGGAAGGAAACAGATTTTATTCTTATATAATTTATAAAACTTTTTTATGAGAATGCCCCTTTGGTTTATTTTAAGATAAATTTGTTTGGTGAACTATCATTTATTTTAGTATACTTTGACTCTGCAAAAAATATAGCGTTTAAATCATAAACATAATCGTTGGGGGCTTTTAGAAACCCTGTTATTCAGCTTATTTTGAGTTTTAATCTTGATGCATTCATCTATGGTGTTAGCTGAATCTTTGGGGTAATTGAAAAATATGCTTTGAAGAGGGTGAGGTGCTCTTTATCCAGAACACGGAATACTGCCCTATCGGCCAGCCTGGCTGAACGCGTTGCGGATATAAGATACAGAGAGGGACAGTAGATTATATACGAACTTGTAATATTCATATGTCAGGGTCATTTTGTGAATAGGACTTTTTCGCTGAGCATATTTATTTGCTTTTTTGCTTCGTTATTGCGTGGGGCAACTAATACAAATACGAAGAAGTGATTCTAAGGTAAATACTACCAAAATAATAAAAGCTTGCATTTTTCGTACCCAGTGACAAGGCTGGAGCTTAAAACACGTCTGGGCTATAAATAAGCTTTGTTAGGGGGAATTTCATTTCGTATGAAAGGGCATGAAGAAGAGATTCGTGGGTCGATCTCACCAGATGAGGACGGATAAATCTCGTAATACTACGACCGTTTGGCTTTTATATGATATTCATGTTTACGCAGTCCACGAGACTTCCTCCCTTGTTTCGGGTGTAAACGTGCTGAGCCTTCGTTCATCATCTGATGGACGTCATCAGAGCTGGGTGTCATTCTCGTAAAAGTCTCACGTTAAAACTAGGGCAAGAACACTATCTGGCCCTACCTTACTTCTTATATAGACTTAATTAAGCCAAAAGAATATTAAAAACCTAGATAGATCGAAAGCTCAGCACGTTTTCACCCGAAACGAGGGAGGAAGTCTTGTGGACTGCGTCAACATGAATATCG